GAGACAAGAAACCCAAACCAAGAAAACGTGTGGCCCACAGTGTGGTTAAAGAAACGTTATCCAGATAACTCCTATAAGTCAGTTATAAAAAGCGTCCTACAGGAAATTTGGGCAAAATGCATGAACAATCATTGTATAAGAAAGGAAACGTATATAGCTAATTAATATATGCAGTGCTTCTCATCAGTAATCAAGGAAATATCAACAGACTCCACAATAGAATTACAACTCAAGAAGCCTTCTAAAATGTTATGGAGAAATCCCATTATTTTTTATTCCATTTTTCCATGCATTTTTGAGCCCCTTATATTGCCTCATTGGATAGCAATCACTCACGGAGTCAATACTGACTCATCACAACCATACAGAACACAGTAGAATGTCCCTGTGCGTTTCTGAGACTGTAAATTTTTAAGGGAATCGAGAGCCTCATCTTTCTGCCACAGAGATGGGTTTAGAGCTATGAGTAGGATCTCTTAAATACGGTTGACAGTACAAAGAACTGGTCTACCCTGAAATCAGAAGCTGTATTCCTGAGTAAACCATATAATGAAATATCATTTCATTCTCACTGCATATGACGTATGTATACAAAATATTTCTCCTTTGGTCCAGTAATATGTTGACTATAGAAACCCTTTTGCATGTCTATGAGAAAATATGAACAAGAATGATCCATGCAGCAGTGTGTTTATGATAATAGCTAACTGGACGAAACCTTCCAATATTTTTCTTAGAAGAATCAAGGAATAAACCTGATGAATCTCAGAAACCTAATACTAGGTGGAAAACTAAGTGACAAAATACATACATGACGTATTCATTATATAGGGGCCAAATACATATTGAACTAAGAGGATGAATTGCTAAGGGCACATGCATATTTATGTATTAAATCTATAAAGCAATGTAATATGGAGCACACACATTAGATGTGTGGTTGTCCTGGAGGCCAAGGTTAATAATAGAATAAAGGAAGAGCACCTGACAGCTTCAGTGAATTATGAATGTTCTGCATCATAAACTGGATTATTCTTTCCAGTATCTTTATCTTATATGGTTATATGTTCTTTATATGTTCATATTATTTGATAATATTAAAAAATGGAACTCACTGTCATTGAGTCAATTCTGACTCAAAGGTCCCCATAGGCAGGGCAGACCTGTCTCTGTGGGTTTTTGTAAGTACAGCTCTTTATAGGATTACAAAGCTTTGTCTTTCTCCTGTGGAGTGGCTGATGGTTCAAACATCTGGCCTTGGGGTTCATAGCCCAATTTGCCACCATGATGCCACTAGTGTCAAATAGTCATAATGAACATCATTGAAAATAATAGCTAAGTATAGAATATAGACATCTTTTCTCTTAGTGATTTTAGATTAGATCTGAAGGTTGTTAGTTGCTATTGAGTTGATTCGCAATCACAGCGACCATATGTACAACAGCACAAAACCCTACTTGGTCCTGCACTATCCTCACAAGTATTGTGTGAGTAGAACACAGTACTATTTCTAAATTATTTAACATTAGGACAAATTGCTGATTCCTCAACGGAGCCTCCAAAGAGGCATCTAATTTTCCCATGGGAGCTATTCTGTATCACGAAGCATGGTGAGATGGTTTTACACCACAAAACACTTTGGAGCTGGGACCAGCTAAGAGGAATTGTAGGATAAACATAGTGAATGCACAATCATTGGGGAGCCCATTGTATTCTCATTAATAAATGGATAGAGGGGGAAACAGAATCTTAAACTATTCAAATTCCTCGTTTGTGTTGCTCATTTTTATTTCTAGCTTGAAAATGCATAACTAAATGATCACACGTGAACTTTTGAGTTCATTTTGTAAATATTTCAAGAAAACCTTATTGATGTTCCTTTCTAGTTTAGTTGCTTATAAAATTGAGCGAAGTTTCCAAGCAACTGAATGTTCTGCCATATCACAATAGAATAATCTTGGGGCTTCAGTCATAATATAAATTGAGGAATAAGAGTAGAAGACAACATAAAACTAGAAAATAATATGATGTTTTGGGCTCACACTTAACCCTTGCTCCAATGTAAGAACAAGTCATCCTTATGACATGGCTCTGCTTGTTATGATATTTGTTGTCATGAAAATATGGATGCTACAGCGAAGTGTGGTGAAGAAATTGGATGGTGCCCAGCTATCAGAAAGAATTGCTTCTGGGCTCTTAATGGCTTATTTTCAAACAAGCATTCTTCTATGTGAGGTGCAAACTAAACCCATATGAAAGAAGCACACCAATGTCTGTGATCCAAGCATTATAAATGATATCATCCAAATCCAAAAGAAGGAATGGTATCAGAGCTCCAGTTGTGAGACTGGTGTGCAGAAAGCTATGGATGACAGGGGAAGCCCAAAGTACATTTGCAGAAGCTACTCAGGGAATATAGGCCTCTGATGATGTCCCTCTGACCATGATTGAGGGATGGGAATAACCTGATTATGAGATACAGGAGATTGGGGAGACAACTATAGTAGATTGAAATGATCAATCTGACGTGAATGGTTCGAACCTTGTCATTTGATCTTCCATTTGATAAGCTTTGTGCTTGAGCTGGTTTTAATCATTCCTGTGTTTTTGTATTTTTCCATTTGGGGTTTATCTCTGTGGTATTCTGACATCGTTGGTAGACTCTTGACTCTGTTATGTATTTTTCTATGTTTCTTGGTATGTGAAACCCATGATGGGTGAATCTATTGAGACAATAACTAGAAACGGGGTTCCTGGTGGGGGGTGGAGGCAGAGGAAGTAGGAGGGTAAGGGGAAATGGACATCAAGGAGGATAAGAAGGAAGAAAATATTTTGAAACTGATTGTAGTAGTGATTGTTCAACATTGCTGGATATGATTGAACTGTGGAACTATAGGATGTCTGGATTTGCTCCTCATAAATGGTTTGGAAGGAAAAAAAAGAAAAGGATAGAAAACAGAATATTCCTTTTCATATTTTTAAAAAAATAATTCTAATCAGCTCTTCCTTGAATCTTAAGTGGCACCAATACTGGTCAAAGTAGATACTGCAGAAAAATATTAAAAAGGACAGAGGTTAGCCGTACAAATTAGATGAGAACTAGACCACAGTGGATTATCTCATCTTCCTGTGTCGGCCAGCTCCGAAGCTTTGTCAACAAACCTAAACCTGTTTCCAGAGATAATGTCCTATTGTACTGCATGTAATTATTAATCATTTTCTCGATGTTTCCTGTTTTGGGGTGATTAGGTATGCAGGGTCCTGAAATAAGCATTTTTGTTTATATATCAAAAAGAATTACAATGGGTCAAAATAGCAAACCTTCAAAATATTAAAATGTTAAAATATCTTGCTGCAAAATTTTGGAAATAATTTAAATAAAAGATCAAAACGTGAGGCTAATATTTCTCAAGTCATTTCCAGCTAGGTCTATCCACTTCTGAAGGCTGAGTTTCTAGCTCTCTAACTGTCCCCCAGAAATGCGGTGTTCTTCCATTCCCTGCAGGTTTCCGTGACAGTTGGGATATGTTCAAGAGAGGCAAATCGGGCTCCTTTTCCATATTCTTGAACATGTGGAACAATTCAAGTCCAAAGGAGGAAGGTGAAAGCTTGGAGCAGGCAGAAAGTTTCACACTGCATGATAAGACAGCGCCTGCAACCATCAGAGACTGAGCAGGTGCATTGTCATGACGGAACGAATTCCTTGGATGACTCCTTTTTCTCACCAATACAACTCTCAATTTCCTTGAAACTTCTTCTTAGCAAGATTCCACTGGGAACCGCCACCCCCAAACAATCTATCAATATTACCTCTCTGGAATTCCCCAAATATTCACTCAACCCTTTGAGCCGACCCCTCTGACGTGCAGGGCCCTGGCCCAGCGGATGCTCTTGGCAGCTATGTGTTGTCATTGGAACAATGGAAGTCAGCCTTCCAAGATTAAGAAAAATATATTACTGAGAGCACTTGCCTGCAGCTATAACTTGCCTACAATGATAACAGTGATATGTTTAAGCACAGTTCACTTGGAATAAACCCAGAATATGTGAATTGGAATCCCAGTTGCAATATTTTTTTGGCATATCCTCATATGTACCTAGGAAGTCAATTACTGGTAAAAAGCAAATAAAACCAAACCAAAACAAAACAGACCCAAATAGAAAAGTAGAGGGATATATTTGGCTCTTTTCTTCACAGTAATAACTGAATACAATATTATTTTATAATCTCCAAATCTGATCAGGCACCAGATACTGTACAGGTCTTCTTAACACATTTTGTCTGGTTTCCTGGATGTCATAACCACATAGGTGGTCTCAGGGTGGATGATAGAGCAGATAGGAAGGGATGTGTAGACTACAGAAGTAAAGATATGAAAACATTAAAATGTATTCCATATTGCTTTAGCAATCTGTGTTCTGGTTTTACCTTGCATACTGGTTTTATTGAATATCATTATGTCCATAGCATCTCATACTTTTGCATTTAATATGTATTTTAAAAGACTTTTTTTGCAGTATTTAAAATAGCAACATGTGGTTAACCAGTTGTCGAGTTAAGTCTCATGATGCCTCCCTGCTTGTGATACATATTAATCAGATAGCTTTCTGTCGGTTCACAGGACTGCAAAGCAGAGCCGTCTCAACTAAGATGACAATTGGTTTTGAAACTGAGCTTCAAAGGGAGCATATTGCTGTTGACAGAAAGATCCGACATAATAAAATGACTAGCTGGCATTCGTATCTCCAATTTCTACTGTTGCATGGTGCTCTTATCTTTCTTTGATTTTAAACCTTACTTGATTCCTTTTTTTATTGAGTGTCATTTCTGCACACAGCACATCACTTGACCAAACCAGGAGTTTCTTGATGGAAAGTCCCCTAGACTTCACCTTTCTGTTTCCGACAATATCTCTTAACGTGTTCCTTTATTGAGCAGTCACATATCGGAGGAAGAAAGATGCTCTTTTAAAAAAATGTGCTTTTAAAATTTCTTTCAGAAATTTGGACCAGCTGTATCAAAGTGAAGATGACACAGAAATATCAAAGAAGATTAAGACTCAGTGGACGTCTCTGGGCCTAGAAGACGTCCAGTTGGTGAATTACTCCGTGCTGCTTGATCTCCCAGGCTCTTCTCCCAGCACCCTGACTCTGATGAGCAGCCGCCAATGCTTTTATCCCAATGCCCAGCCGTGTGGCAAAGAGGCTGGAAAAGACAGCGGCCAAGAACTGCTCTATTCATACGCAGCCTATTCTGCCAAAGGAACTCTCGAGGTAATCTGAGCATTTGTTTCTGTCATTTATGGTGAACTAGAATTAGAGAACAGCTTTCATATAAATTAAACTAACTGGCAAGACACAACACACAACAGTGACGATTGAAAGTTCTGTTTGGAAGGGCTGGGGTAGGAGAAGGGAGATTTGAGTTGTCGGACCCATTCTTGTCATGTTTTGAAAATGAAAACATGTTAGGAGAATTTAATTTCAAGGTGTTGAATGTGTGACTCAGTCATTCACATCTTGCTTGGTCTACATTGTGCAAATGCATGCTATGGTTTTGAAGAGGCAAATGCTAACACGTGGCTGTGGTCAGAATAAAGTGGAGAGGGTGGTGTTTTTAGATTGTGGATATGCAGAGGAAATATGGTGAGAAGTGACTGTGATTATTCATATATCCATCTTTGAAATACATGGACCGGGTAGCCATTTGTGGATGAATTCACTGCCATCCCTGTGTGGGTTTTTTGTTTCTTTGCTTTGAAGTATCTTGATTTTTTACAACATGGTTAAGGGTGTGGCTTTTGGAGCCAAACTGACTGGTGTTAAGTTATAGCGCCCCCATTGAATAGCTATTGATTTTCTTCCTCTATATAATAAGGATACTAATAGTTATAATTTCATAAGGTTGTTGTGAGAATTAAATTAGTTAATACATGTAACTCTCAGGAGACAGAGCCCAACCCATAGTAATGAGAAGGTACCTATTAGATGTTATAGTATATAACTCGTTGCAATGAGTCATTATTGACTCAATGGCAGTGAGTTTATATTTTTTATTTTTAATTGGTCACTGGCATCATTTGATAGACATTTTCTATCTCGATGTATAAATATTTTAATAAATACTACTGAACTTTGGTTTAGCAAGTGAGTGTTTTAGCCGTTATTATTTTATAAACCTCTAACATTACCTTATTAAGACTGAAATTATATTATATTTCTGACCTTTCCAAAAATTATTGTCATGATGTTTAAGAGCCTGATAGAACTATGAGGAATATTTCAATGTAGTAAAAGTTACCTTATGTAGGAAAAACTCAATATAATGTAATCTCACCCAAACCACTGTCTCATATCAGTTCCGACTCATAGCGACCCTATAGGACAGAGTAGAGCTGCCCCATTGAATTGTCAAGTCTGCAGTCTCTATGGAAGCAGACTGTAATTGCCTTCTCCTGTGGAGTAACTTGCGTTCGTTCAAACTGCTAAACCTTAGTTTGGCAAACGAGTGCTTTAACCATTGCACCACCAGCAGTCCTTAGATAATATAACCATGCATGCATGTTCCTAATACTCTTTTACGCTTTTCTAAGAAGGGCCAGTTTTCCTGACACTTCAACTTTGTTTAAATTCCCCGTTGTGGTGCAGTCTGACTTTTAGCAGGAAGCTTACTTACAACCAGCAACTACCTTGAAAAGTCTCACCAGTAATTGAAAGTTAATATCATATTGAATGTCGGCAATATTTCTAGTGTGGGACTCATGCAATTTGAGTTGATTAATATACACTATTCCCAGTAGGCACTGTTGGTAGCACACCTGTGTTTTAATAAAAACAGGGGAAGGCAGCCAGCCTCTTTTGGCTCAGAGGCTTTGACTATAAGCCAAGATTCTAAAGTTACCCTGCATATTTCTCTGAAACCTCTGGTCTTGACTAAGTCCTACTTATATCCAGCCTCCTTTCTATCCTTCTTAGCTGGTGTTGAGCAAACAGCCTCTTCCCCTCATCCAAAAGCAGGCCCGAAATCCAGCACAGCAAGGCCCAGACCACCAGGAGCTTGTATGGGTCCTTAGCATTCTCTCCACCTACTTGAGTTTTAAACTTCCTCTGCAGAAGATTGATTATTCCATAGATGATTTGAATCCTTGATGAGAGGACAATATGAAACAAGGTCTCACTAGCTTGGCCCTTTTCAATTATGTGCCATTCCCTTTGGATGCCTACTGGAATGATTGAATCAACTTCACAGATACAAGTTCACTACACACAGAGAAAATCCTTGCACTTTTAGGTTGCAGCAATCCAGTGGCATACTAACTACATATATAATTAAAAAACAATATGTCACTATTACTTACAGAAGTTCATTAAAAAAGTAATATAATAAAAATATGAAAATGGAAGTATAGCTGCAAGTTTTTGCTGTTAAGTTTTTTTCTTTCAGGTCACCACAGATTGGCTAAATTTTATAGGTACACTGTGCTTATGAATAGGGATATAAAAATTGAACTATATTTAAGCCCAAATGATGGTTCCCAAGTTTGGCAATCACTGTTTATAAAGGAAGGAGCCCTGGCATCTACACGATTAAGTGCTTTGCTACCAACTGAAAGGTTGGGGTTTGAGGCAGTGTGTCAGCTCCGGGAGATCATACAGCATTCTGCTCTGTCCTGCAGAGGCCTCAGGATCAGCTGGCAGGCAAGGGGTTTGGGTTGGTTTCGAATTGTTCTGTCAGCAATTCAACTTGAGTGCCATGTTTCTTCCTTTGACATCATCACAGCTTAAAAAACTAGACATCTGACTTCTGAGGCTGAAACAAGTACATTCTATTTTGTGATGACAATTTGCAGTATTAACCATGAATATTAGATGAGAGCATTGAAAACTTTTTTTTTTTTCAGTTTTATCAAGGGACTTCAAAAGTTTGTGGAAAAATCTATTCAAAAGATTCCGGGTTTTTTTTTTTTTTTCCATTAACTTTTTGAAGCCCTCTCATATTTAAGGTACAAATCTATTATGTTAAGTATATCAATATTTAAGCACCTATATCAAGGAGCATAGTGTTAGCATAGTGGTTATTAGTTGTGCTGCTAATCACAATGTCAGCAGTTTAAAACCACCAGCTGCTCTTTGGGAGAAAGATGAGGCTTTCTACTCTCATAAAGAGCTCTAGTCTTGGAGCCCCACACAGGCATTTCTACCGTGTCTTGTGGGGCCCTAATGAGTCATCCTTGACTCAATGGCAGTTTTTGAAAGTGAGATAGCAAGAAGCGAAGCTCTGATGGCGTTTGTGAGGTAACCACTGACTTGCTAACCATGAGGTACAATCCCATCAGCACTACTATGTGAGAAAGAAGAGGCTATCTGTTCCCATAAAGATGTGTAGTCACCAAGAGTTGGAATCAACTCAGTCACAGTGGGTGTGATAGCAAGGAGGAATATAATAATGGTATTACTTTTTTCACTCTCTAACTAGAGTAGCCTGATTTTCAGTGCAATGCAATTTCTAGGTGGCTACTGAATATTTATGGAGAATACTTGCAGATATGTTATACACATGTTTTCCATAGGTGTATTGTTGAAACTCAATACATTTTAACTAAAATAACAGAGGGGGTTTTTCTGACTCTCTTCTGATCATTCTGTAATTCAAATCAAGCTTGAGTGGTTGCTGCCTCCGATCCAAGTATCCCTCCTTTTTGATTTTGAGTACCTGGGTGTTTGCATGAATTTCCATCAGGCAGAGCTATTAACACATTCTTACAGTATTCTAGTCTGAGTGCTAGCAGAGGTCCCTGCTACTTCTGCTTTTGACAAGGTTATTTGTAGGAGAGGAGTGCTCCTTGTCTTTGAAGAGCTGTCATGTCCATTCATCATCTGCCCATTTGTATAAGCTTCCAATTGTTGCTTTCTGGTAACCGTCTAAACAGCGTTCGTGCTATCTGAGATCTACTTCTGAAGCCTCCTTAGTGCCAGCATGATGAATAGTATACTTTACAACTTCTTTGTAATTCATTGTGCACGGGAAAGGTGACATTGTTTACCCCATCATCATGACAGGTGGGTCAGGGAAAAAGGGTCCTAAGGAGAGGTGTCCTGTCACTTGCAAAATACATATTAAATTGGATACATAAATAATTTAGCATGCATGAAGTGAGCTTCAGGGAATAAAAACCGACTTACATGTTTTTGTTTGTTTGTTAAAAGATAAACGTAGACCCTAATATCATCCTAAGATTAAAGACTCTGGTAGTGATTGCTGACCATGCTAGTCAATTTTATAAATGCTACATGTGGCACTTACGTGATTGCCTTACAGTTATTCCTTTTGTCCACTGTGAGACTCAGACAAATGCAGAAAAGCAAAGGAAACAATTAGTATTTAATATACCATATATACTCATATATACGCCGAGTTTTTTTCAGTACATTTTTTATGCCATTATTGTGGTAAAATTAGGTGCCTCTTCCATGATGCTCACCTTTCCGATATGATTGCTGAAGACAAAGCGGGTGCATAAGCAAATGTTGTGAAGAAAGCTGATGGAGCCCGGCTATCAAAAGATATAGCATCTAGGGTCTTAAAGACTTGAAGGTAAACAAGTGGCCATCCAGCTCAGAAGCAACAATGTCCACATGGAAGAAGCACAACAGCCGGTGTGATCATGAGGTACCGAAGTGATCAGTTATCAGGCATCAAAGAACAAAATATCGTATCATTGTGTGCTCACCTTCACTATATGATCACTGAAGACAAAATGGGTGCATAAGCAAATGTGGTGAAGAAAGCTGGTGGTGCCTGGCTATCAAAAGATATAGTGTCTGGGGTCTTAAAGGCTTGAAGGTAAACAAACGAGTGGCCATCTAGAAGCAACAAAGCCCACATGGACGAAGTACATCAGCCTGTGTGATTACGAGGTGCCGAAGGGATCAGTTAACAGACATCAAAGAACAAAATATCATATTGTGAATGAGGGGGAGTGCGAAGTGGAGACCCAAAGCCCATCTGTAGGTAACTCTACATCCCCTTATGGAAGGGTTGCGGGGAGGAGATGAGCCAGTCAGGTTGCAGTGTAGCAACAATGAATCACACAACGTTCCTCTAGTTCCTAAGTGTTTCCTCCCCCCGCCCGTCCCCCACTATCATGATCCCAATTCTACCTTACCAATCTGGCTAGACCAGAGGATGTACACTGGTACAGATAGGAACTGGAAACACAGGGGATCCAGGACGGATGATCCCTTCAGGACCAGTGCTGAGAGGGGTGAAACCA